AACCTTTTGCCACAGTGCAGCACGGGTCACAGATAAGGCCAGAGGAAGCGAATGAAAGGGTGAAAGGTTTTAGGGAAAACTTGCAAAATTGTTGTCCACTTTTCGTGTTTTTCCATGCCATGTGGGGATCCCCCACAGCCCCAGAGCGGCCGCAGCCCGCATCTGGCTAGAGTTCTCGGCTTTCCCCGTACTCTTTTGGCATCACCATTTCCACCCAATCCCCCGTCGCTCCGCTCCGCCCCACTCCGCTCCGCCCCACTCCACTCCACTCCACTCCGCTCTCCGTGCTGATGTTTTCTTTTGTAGGCTCGATGCGAATGAATCCTAAAAATGTCTGGCTGTCGGCTGGCCCTTTTTTTGTCGGTTTCTGCTTTAAACTTGATTCATGACGGACGCCCGGGGGCGCCCTATATCGAGTATTTTTTCCAGTTCTGTTTCCCGGGGGACAGGGGGCCGGGGGGACGGCATTCATGTGCATTTTCGGGGGCTTACCCGCTGGCGTGTTGATATGTTTATCAATGTTATTATTTATGTTTAGATTTGAATGTCAATGTCGAATTGGATCGAATCGGAATCCGAATCGGCACGGCACGGCATCGGCCTCGGCATCAGCATCCACTGCAGAGGAGAGAGCGGAGTGTGGAGTGGAGTGGAGTGGAGTGTGTCTCGAGGGAGCGATGTTCAGGGGTTTACACTCCACTCGCATTGTGCGCGCACTTTGAACTTTGATGGCATTAAGTTGTCAATTTGCGTTTTGACTTACCAAAGACATAAATCGGAGGCGACAGCGACAGCGACGGCGACAGGCGCCTATAGTCTGTCTGCACACAGAGAGAAAAAGGGCAAAGGAGGTGCCAAGGAAATGTGGAGTGGAGAGATAGCCGTTTGCCCAGAAGCCACTGAAGAGCTATTTGACAATGAGAAGAGTGGAATTCAGGGCATACCATGACTTTTGAATATTCTATGGATCACCCATTATCCTCTAGCTCAAAATCTCGAGACTTTGGCTCTTCTTTTCCATCGTTTCTTCAGTGTAGCCTCCTTCTCTCTCTCCTTCTCCTCCAAATGAACAGGACTTATCTTGTAGATTGTGAAATGTTCTTTTTGTGGGCATGTGGGAGTCGATTGGTTGCTCCTTTGTGGGGCATAGGCATCATAGGCCCCCGCCTGCACCTTCTCCGCTCTGTTACTCACGCGAGAACAAAGGAACAAATGACCCCCTTATTGTTAATTTCTATTGTCTAAGACAATTCAAGGAACATCCATCGCACAGCAAGAACAATTTTGGCAGAAAATTAATTATCTCGGAAAACCTATGCGCTGCGAGAGTTTTCCTCACTTTTCGAACACGAGACGATGATGTTCTATGGGTTTTTCCAAAGCCAAAAACAACCTCCAGCTCTTTTTGTATTTTTCAAAATTCTCCAACTTCATTTTGTACGACTTTTTGTGCTCGAACTTTGTTTTAATTGATTTTGGATTCACTTTTTCCAGCAAAATCTCCAGCCCGAAAAAAAAACTTGTTCGGAAAGTGAAAACGAGAACATTAAGAGAGTGGGCAAGAGGGAAAGGGGGAGAGAGGAAGAGAAGTAAAAGTGAAAATGATTAGCAAGATGAAGAGAAGAAGATGATGAGGAAGGGAGGGTATGGGGAGGGGGAGGGGGAACAGCAGAAGACAGTAAAGAAATGTAAAAAGAAATTAATTTCCATTGAAAATTCCAAATGCCACTCGAAGGGGGGCAGGCAAGCAGGGAAGGAAGGGAGCCAGGGCCAGCAGCAGAAGGCAAACATTCGAAAGACAAAGAAATTTTTTAATTGATTTCACTTAAAGCACCAAAAAATACAACACAAAACACACAAAAACAACAGCAGCCAAGAAGTCCAACTCCAAGCCAATGCCCGAGATGCCAAAGAAGAAGGAAAAGTACCAACAACTGTTGAATTTTTTTCTCTTTCGGCTCTTTTTGGATTGTATTTTTAATTTGTTTGGAGTTTTATTTTTGTCTTGTATTTTGGGGGGAATGGGAAAGGCCAGCACCAGCACCAGTGCCAGTGCCAGTGCCAGTCTCCCAAGTTCCAGAGACACGCACTTGACCACTCAAAAGTCAACCGAGAGCCGGCCGCGCGAGAGATGAGCCCCATAAGCGCATCCCATCCCCGTTTGCCCATTCCCCGATCCGCATTCGTGGTTCCGGCCAAGTGCGGGGCCTAATTGGCCATTATGTGGGGCCCAAACAACGCTCGAGTGGGGGCGGCTAATTAAAAGTGGCGTGAAATACAATTTGCCAAAACAGAACAGACCAGAAGCCAAAGCTTTCGGATATTTCTTTCTCTGGTACTGCCTCTAAAGAAATTCTCTTTCGTTCGTTCGCTTAGAGTGGGGGGATCGTATCGTGCACTTGTCACCCAAGAGTGAAATATTCCCACCAGGCGGTCCCGTCCGGTCTGTCCCCTGACCTCAGACACAAAACCCCACACAGAAAATTCAAAAAATAGAAAAAGAAAATTTCTCAAAAATAAAACCAAATTTCGGATAACCGAAAACCGAATGTCAATGGAAATTTACCAAAATAATTACCCAAAAACCGAAAACCGAAAACCAAAGATAAACCATGGAAATCGTGTTCGTGTCTCTATGTAAATTCCCTAAAAAGAGAGAGAGGGAGACCAGTCGACAATGCATTTCTCATACGGTCATTAATCATCCGCACGCACTCCCCATTCATGCCTTAGTCGCACGGGCAGGTCCGCAGAGAACTCGGCAAGAGTCCAGTTTTCAGTTTCACAAAGAAAACCCAAATTCATCGAAAAATACCATGAATTTTCCTGTTTTTACTTAGAAATTATTTTTTTTTTTCAGTGCATATTCGATCTTTGGGAAACACCCTACCTCGCTTATTTATGCCTTGCGATCGAATGCCACCATCTAACGCGTCAAAAATGTTGCGCCACACTTTATGTGCGATCAGTGGGGTATTGCAACAACGAGGTGGCGCTTAGCAGCACGTCGGAGCCGTGCCAAATGTTGCCAAGCACCATCACGTTCTGCTAATGCCCCTTGTGCTTTGCGTGTTTCCAGCAACATGGAATGGGCCACATTCCAAGAAGACGGAAGAAGGGTAGTACAAGATTGATAGCCGATATACATATTTTCTATGTATATGGGCACGAAACTAGTCTCTTGTTATTTTCCCCATTATTTATAGGCAGCTCAGCAGAGGGCATATAGGGTATCCTAGTGCCCGTACTCGACAAATGCCTAGCAGTGCAACAGGTTTACCCGAGCAACATGAGTGCGGACTGCCAGCAACATTTCTGTTGCATGGGCAACATTTACGGTGTTTGTGACGTAGGGCGCGAGCAGCGACCGAACCGATCGTATGGGAAATGCACGGCCTTGCCCGCCTCAATCTTTCTCGGGCCGCGAAAAATGAAACAACAGCAAATACACACACACATATTGTCGAGTGTTTGTTGCTAATAAACAACCATAAACAGCAACTGTGAACGTTTAACGGTAACGGTGCGTGCGCAGGCGTGCGATCTGCCAGAGGAGGGGGAGAGGGATAGATCCAAGCAGCCATAGCCACAGCCACAGCCACAGCCAACAATAATAACAACAACAGCAACAGCAAGTGCATCCCATAGAAAGAGGAGAGGAGGATGAGATCCACAATCCATTTCCATTTCTATTTCTGTTTCTTTTTCGTTTTTCGGAACAAGAAAAGAGAGAGAGAGAGAGACAGAGAGACATGTGCAATCGGCCAGAACGTGCATTTTTCAAATAAAACATTAATATCATCCATTCTTCAATAATTCATGATCTCTTCTGCTGCAGCAGAGAGGAGTTCGAGTTCGTGCGGCGCGCCAAAAACAAAAAACAAAAAGCAAAAACGATTCCGAGTAAATTTCTTCGTTTCGAATAAAACGCTTTTCCGTGTGCATTTCTCTTTTGTCGTGGAATTGGATTGCGTTCGATACGATACGAAACAGAAACAGCCACAGAACTATGTATGTTTGACCCGATTCCCGTATTCAAAAAATTGTGACCGAAGAATGAGTAGACTCAAAAGAGAGGAGGAGGGAAACAAAATAGAAGAAAGACTCCACTCCCGCGATATCTGTGTGAAGGGAAACAAAAAGAAAAACATAAAATACATATATATATTATGTATATATTTGTCTACCGATGATGTATGGGGAATGTACGGGATGTTGGGAAATATTGTTGTGCATGCTGTGGCTCTTAGGACCGATAGAACCTACTCTAATATACGAACACAATCTTGAACAATGAACAATAACTAAACCTCAATAGTCGTACCCTCTCGTATACCCTCGTTTTTTTTTTAACAAAAAAGTGTAATTCAAAAAACTATCGAGTGTTTTCAGAAGTTCCCTTCCATAAAGTGCTTCAGATCTTCAGATAAATAATTCTAATAATTTCTTGTTTGTTTTGCTCTCTAATTTCTCCCACAGTTATTTGTTGTTCTTGTCCCACTGTGCACTGTGCAACACGAATTCAATTTATTTCGCATTTTTTTTGTGAGTGTGTGTCTTGTTTCTTTGTGAACGAATACCGTGTGAATAACGCGTGAATACCCCTTCAGCGAGGAGCGAGCGTACTTTTGTGCGGCAGTGTGCGAGCGCCATGTGAGTGAGTGGAGCGGGAGAGGCACCTGTTACAGTGTTACAGTTACAGTGCGTGTCATAATGATAGCGACAGAGGCCACAAAAGCCGCCGCCGCATCGGCCATAAAATGAAAGCCGAGGCAGCCCCCAGCAGCAGCAGCAGCAGCAGCCCCCCGAGGAGGAGGTCCACCGAAATAATTAAACAAATTTTAGATCGATATTCAAATACGGACTTCGAGTCCGGACAAAACCAGATAGTTCCAATAAAAAACAAAAACAAAAACAAAAACTACGACAGAGAAGTGTGTGTTTTTTAGAGCGAGAACAAAAAGAACAAAAAGCGAACCGAAAATCCGAATCCGAATCCGATACAAAATCAAAATCAAAATTTGTCTTCAATATTTATATATATGCTAATTTATTTTTACAATAATTTGGTATTAACCCACAAAAGCCAAACACAACAAAAACAAAAACACACCAACGACAAAAGAGTGAAAGATAAAAACAACAACGAAAGAGCGGAGAGAGAGAGCAAAGGCAGAAGAGCAACGTAAAAGCAAAAGCAAAAGCACGCGGACGGAAGGGAGATCTTTCTCGATTCGCGCGCGGGATATAAAAACACAGCAAAAGTAAGTGGAACTATACGCATAATTATACCCTATAAAGAGGCCCCAACAGAGGTGGCATGGCACCCACCCCCTGTCTGTCTGTGCTTGGATGATTTTGGGATAAGCTCTACCCACACAAAGGAACCTTTTATACTAATTTGTACTTTGTACTAATGGTGCTCCCTGGCTCTAGATCTTCTTTTAAGGAAACTTATGTCTTGGCTTTATCTCACCAAAAATACTCTTTTTTTCCCCAGTTAATCCAACAATTAGTAGGTATTTCAATACCGCGACTCTCCCCTCCCTAAGTGATCTTCATTCATAGGGTATTTCCCGCCTCGATCCTCCATAGTTGATTCATCTTTCTCCCTTGTTTTATATTTTATTTCACTGCCATTATGTGTGTTTTTATACCCGATACTCAAAATGAGTATTGGGGTATATTAGATTTGTGGTAAAAGTGGATGTGTGTAACGTCCAGAAGGAATCGTTTCCGACCCCATAAAGTATATATATTCTTGATCAGCATCAATAGCCGAGTCGATTGAGCCATGTCTGTCTGTCCGTCTGTCCGTCTGTCCGTCTGTCCGTCCGTCCGTCTGTCCGTCTGTCCGTCTGTCCGTCTGTCCGTCTGTCCGTCCCCTTCAGCGCCTAATGCTCAAAGACTATAAGAGCTAGAGCAACGATGTTTTGGATCCAGACTTCTGTGATATGTCACTGCTCCAAAAATATTTCAAAACTTTGCCCCGCCCACTTCCGCCCCCACAAAGGGCGAAAATCTGTGGCATCCACAATTTTGACGATACGAGAAAACTAAAAACGCAGAATCGTAGAAGATGACTATATCTTCTAGAGTGCAAAATCTGAACCAGATCATATAATTATTACAGCCAGAATCACGAAAACAATTTCACTCTTTCTCGCTCTGTCTCACTCTAACACACAGGTTTCATGGTCGGTTTTGCCAATTGCAAAATATGAGTTCAAGGATCTCAGAACCTATAAAAGCCAGAGCAACCAAATTTGGTATCCACACTCCTGTGATATCGGACCTTGACCGTTTCATGTCCAAATTTCGCCACACCCCCTTCCGCCCCCGCAAAGGACGAAAATCTGAGGCAACCACAAATCTCAGAGACTATTAAGGCTAGAGTAACCAAATATGGTACACACACTCCTTTAAGATGTCACTATAAAACGTATATCTCAGAATTTCGCCCCACCCCCATCCGCCCCCACAAAGGACGAAAATCTGTTGCATCCACAATATTGCAGATTTGAGAAAACTAAAAACGCAGAATCATAGATAATGACCATATCTATTAGATTGCTGAATCTGGATCAGATCAGATCATTTTTATAGCCAAAAGGAACAAATCAATTTGCAGTGGCTACGCAGCGCCCGACGTCACGCTCAGACTGATTTTCTGTCTCTCTCGCACGCACTCTTTGTCGTGTCGTTAAATATTAGCGGCGTCTGCCGGAGGAGAGCCATACTGACTTAGTATCGGGTATAACCGTAGAGTTGCGGTGTCCGCAGCAACTCACAACGTTCCCCCTCGTTTATAATTCTCTTCTTTTTATTGGTTTTTTTTTCTCCTTTTCGCTGGATGAAACATGTTTTTAATGCAAATTCAATTGAAACCAAAGGCAGGCGAAATTTCTTTACGCCTCGAATGCGAATCCGAGTCCGAATCCGAGCTCGAAGGCTGATTTCGGGCGAGTCTTAAATGAAATGTATGTATTTTTTTCGGTATTTTCTGGGTTTTGCGTGTGCCTCGTATTTCATATCATTTGGAGGGCTGATGGTGGGCTTATCCGCGACGATGGTTTTCCCTCCCGCTGTGGCCCGATGTTGACCTTCTGACGGCTGTGGCTGTGGCTATGGCTATGGCTATGGCTATGGCTGTGACTGTGGCGGTGACTGTGGCCTAATTGTTTGGGAAAAAGCGAGGCTTTGCAGGGATCCTGGGGTTTTGATCCTCTGATTCCATGCAGGTCGTGGCTATTGGGAAAGGTCAATGGACTGAGTGAAACGAATCGTTTAAAGGCTATCTAAATGGGATCGTGGTGTTTGTGTGGCTTTGATGCTTTGAAGGCTGGAATTTGTCAATTTCCCAACAAACTTTAGTCGGAATGGTATTTTGGAAGCTTAAGATAGAACGAATCATGAACAAAAATAGCTTTTATCCCAATCTCTGATTCTCATTAAAACCACAATCCACTGCACATACGCATATGAATTCTTCAGAGCCTTTGGTGGCGCATATCCGATCCAACGATCCACTCGGGATTCATAACCATATACGTAGACCGTCCACAATGACCGAAAGGGAAAGCAATCCATGATCGAGAACCCATACCATGTGATCTAACACTATTTCCACACAGCATCCACAATCCACAAAGTTCGTACCACAAATCAATCCCTAGGAATAATCCCTGAATTTTTGGAATATTTCCATTCAAAATTCACATGGGAATCCAATCCAATATTCCCAATCAAGAGAAGAGTTGCCTGCCCAATTCTGGGGCTGATGATTGACCCCATTTGACCCCGTTTCGCGCGGTATCTTATCAGCCCTGAAATTTTCGAGCATTTGCGAAAACAACAAAACGATCATCACATGACGATCGTCAGATGGGTTCCATGAAGATGGGTTCTACGAGTGTATGATGCTGAAGATGATGTCACTCGCAGACATAACATACATATGTGTATAGAGTGATGCTCTATCAGTGCCACCGGTGGCTCACCGATCAAGCGATCACTTCCGTTTGAACGGAGAGGGAGAGAGGAGGAATCCCTCGAAACAGTAAAGCAGATTCCCGCATAAAAGCCGAAAATAATTGCATTCAACCAAGCGGCAACCCTCGAAAATTGTTGACATCCGAAGTGCCACAGAATCCACACCACACCGAAATTTGAAGTTCAAAAGTCATTAAAGGCATTAGAAAGTGTTGCAAACAGGGGCACGAGCACGAGGGGCGCACTCAAATGGATGGAATGGAATGGGTGATGGGGCACGATAATTGAATGGCTAGAGGGGCACCCGCACCCGCACCCGCACCCCGCACCCAGCACCCACGTGAAATGAAATCCGACAACCGTCGATAAATAAACGAATACATCACGAAATTCTATTTGCAGGCGGCAGGCGGCAGGCGGCTGTCCGGCATTTCGGCATTCAAATGGTCAAAAGAGCAGTGAATGGAGGGGATGAATGTTTCGAATGAATATATCCCTTGAGGAAAGCATAATATGAATGTGCGGTGCGGTGCCTCTTGCGGTGGTACGTGCCTGGGACCCCGAAAACGCTGTGTTTGCATTGGAATTTTCCTTCATTTTCCCACTTAATTCTCCGCGAAAATGGCGATCGCCCACAGATGAGTGCTTCCGAGAAACAGTAAAGATAGATTCGATTCGGCGGACAGAGCCAGATGGAAAATGATTATCGATTGAAGCGATTGAATACCTACAGGGGGATTCTGTGGAATATTCAAAGTATTCATTCATTTATTCACTTGTTGAGCACGTTTTCCTTTTTTTCTTTTTTCTTTTTTGTTTTTCTCTTTGTATTTTTTTGGCTAATAAGGCGGGCACTTCGTGTTGCCGTTAGACTTGGCTGCCTCCTCCCTCCACGCGTCGCCGTCTCTGCCTCGCTTTTCCATCTCATGTGCAACGTAGCGTTTCACAGGTCTGCTCTTCTGCTTGCCTCCCCCCGCTGCCCCGTGGGTTATTTAACCATGAAGCAGGGGCGGGGGCAGGGGCAGGGGCAGGGGCAGGTGCAGATGAGGGACATGTGTGGGATGGGACGGGGTGGCGAGGGGCATGGGTCTGGGTTCGGTGGGGGCTGTGGCTGAGTCATCGTCGAAGTCAAACGCGTAGCACGGGACCGACCGCCTAAAACCAGCGAAGCGTCAAAGTGTCGACGAAACAGGTGGTGCCTCCAGGTAGCACGAGGGCCAGGGAGTTGGGGCGGTGGCAGGCGCGGGCGCGGGCGCGGGGGCAGAGCGAGAGACAGTGACTCTGATTGTGGCAGAGCGCATGTTACGCTTTTGTGGTTATTGCTGTTGTTGCCACAGCCACTGCCACTGCCACTGCCACTGCCACACGGCTCTTGTTTGGGGGGCAAGCGGAAGTAGTAATCAGTTTTTGGCCGCCGTACAAACGCCTCCCTGCCGCTTGCCCCACCAACGAGGGGCCTCTGCCGCGGCCTCTCTGGCTTCTACCTGCCCCAGCCGCACGCACAGGTGCACGGTCCCCACCGCCCCATCCGTCTGCCCCCATTGCCGCTATTACAATGCGATTTTTTATTGTTCTTGTTTGAAGCCTCCACTCCACTCCACTCCAGAGTCCCCTCCCCCGGTTCCCCCTAGTACCCCCCCATTCGATACCCATTACGGGCCATGGCCAGGCATACCCTTTCCTGTGGAGAGTATTGCGGCTGTGGGGCAGCACTTGGAACCACTCTGTACCACCACTATCTATAACGATATATAAGTTGTATCTTTAGGCATCGCTCGCTACGATTCGTAGGGGAACACCCGATTCGAATGGAATCATCGAACGAATGAAGAAAGGCCCAGTTCCTTGGGCGTTGGATTATTCGGAGAATAATGCCTGATCGTACCTGGATCCTAACGAACCTTCAAGTGTATCTAAATTTTCGACTTGCAGCAGATGAGAGAGAGAGAGAGAGAGAGAGAGAGAGGATTAGCCTTTCTTTCTGTCCGTCTGTCTGGCTTCCTTACGACGACGACGACGATGATGATGATGATTCCTGTTCCTGCCTTCAGTTCTGGTTGGAGCCTCCCCTTGAGAGTACGCAAGAAGCCCGGATGAGGGGCCTGGGGGGCTAAGGGGGAGTCGCCGCCGCCACCTTCTTCCGTTCCGCAGTCGCGTTCCAGTTGAATGCGTCGCTGCCGCTGGTGCCGCTGCTGCTGCCGCTTCTGCTTCCGCTTACAATTCTTTTTTATTACACTTTATTACACATTTTATATTCCGCCTTTCCGTTTTC